ACCTCCTCCCTGTAGGCCGCCTCATTGTTGTCCCGGATGAGGCCCACTACTGTGGTGTCGTCCGCGTACTTCAGGATGTGGTTGGAGCTGAGGCGTGGACGGCAGTCGTGGGTCATCAGGGTGAACAGCAGGGGGCTTAGGACACAGCCCTGGGGAGTGCCAGTGTTCAGGGTGATGACGTTGGAGGTGTTGTTCCCCACTCTGACAGCCTGGGTTCTGTCAGTGAGGAAGTCCAGCAGCCAGTTGCATAGGGGGGTGTTTATTCCTAAGGGCCCCAGTTTGCCTACCAGGTCCTGGGGATGATCGTGTTGAATGCTGAGCTGAAATCCAGGAACAACATCCGTACGTGGGTGTTCTTCTCCTCCAGGTGCTCCAGGCTCAGGTGGAGAGCAGTGGAGACTGCATCCTCCGCACTGCGCTTGGGCTGGTACGCAAACTGGAACGGGTCGTGTGATGGGGGGAGCGTTGAGATAATGTGGTCCTTAACAAGTCTTTCGAAGCACTTCATGATGGAAGATGTGAGTGCGACGGGGCGGAAATCGTTAAGGCACGTGATGGTGGTTGTCTTTGGGACCGGAACGACAGTGGCAGACTTGAAGCACCGTGGGACGACGGCCTGGTTCAGGGACGTGTTGAAGATGTCCGTGAGCACGTGGGTCAGCTGGTCCGAGCATTCTTTAATCAGCCGACCTGGAATGTTGTCGGGACGTGCAGCTTTCCGCGCGTAGACCTTCCTCAGAACTTTCCGCACTGCTGATGTTTCTAGTCTGAGCGCCTGTTCGTCGGGGTGTGGTGTTGCTTTCCTCGCAGGGTTGGAGTTCAGCTCCTCAAATCTTCCAAAGAAGTTGTTGAGCTCTTTGAGGAAGCCGGTGTCGTTCTGGCAGGATGAGTTGCTGGTAAATCTATATTCACCTTTAGATGAAATGTCAAGGGTAGAGTAAAGCTTTGAATGTTTATATTGTATATGCACTGTAGTTTTTTTTTTAAGAGTCTATTAATGAGATTACAACCACCTATAAACTTCCACATCTGTGAAGTTTAATGCTCTTTAATAACTTCTCATTCGACTGGAATGCTCATGTTTGCTGAATCTGGACAAACGAATGGTCTCCATGAAAGGGTGGCTGTTAGGAAGTCATTGTGAAGGAAGAGAAAGGCTGAGGCATGCCAAATGACACGAGGCCTGAACTGAAAATCACTTGCGACAGGTCGAATGGAGTGCTGAATCCTTCCCAGAATCTGTCTGTGAACATCATTAAAGCAGTGCAGGAGTTTGTGAGAGTTCTACCGAGTATTTGCACTTAAAATACTTGCATTCTGTTTCAGCACAGTAAGTGGCACAATCAAAGGGATAAAAGTTTTAGATTTTTAATTATGTATTTTACAATTGGAGTATTCTTCAGTTAGCTAAATGCACCAGTAGCTACACATACATAGAATGTGTCCATTGTTAAAGTCAGAGTAAATGTGGGAGTGCATCCATTAGACACTCGAGCTCTCTGCATGCAGAGCTCGTTTCTCAATCATTTAGGGTTTTAGTGCATAATCTGACACAAAACCGCCAGCTCTGACATCATTCGATTGAGGTTTGTTGTGAGAGCTCACGTTCAATCATTTTATTGGCCTCAAAAAATGAGAACTTATTCCTTCCGGGACCCGATTTTTATTGCATTATAAGCACATGTTCAGTAGCTACAAAAAGCAGCAGAATGATGAGGATTAGTATATTCTTGTCATGGTCGTGTGGTTGCGGGTTCTTATTGGAGAAACCAAATCCGTTCGGTTTCTGGACTGTGTAATCCTCTTTTTTGCCAGCAGAGAGTGACAACGGTCAACCACGGCGGTGACCAAAGCGTCTATTAAACCTGTGGCCGGGTGCAGCCAGGCGAGTCCAGAAAAACCTGTAAGCAGAGAAAAGGGAATATGTTCATCTTTGCTGAAAGCACACGATTTGTTATATATTTGCTCCCATAAAAAACCAAATGAAAGTGTCAGGCACGCCGGCGTCTGGGGCGTTATTTATATCTGCGGGGAGGTGACAGTTATTGGTTTGTCTTTGTGCTCCTGCGGTGCCAGGGCTGCTCGGTTTATCACCCAGAAATGAATGAAAGGCGGAGAGGCGGTGGCATTTTTCATTCAGAAAAAAAAAAAAACCCAACCTGGATCCTGGAGGGGGCCACCGAAAGAAGTGACCCTAAAATCCAGAAAGAAGTTAACCTGATAAGCAACGTGTAAAGATCCACAGGTCCACAGTTTACATATTTACTTCGACTTGTCATTTAGTGAATTCAATGTTTGAAACTCTGCTGAGTCTTTTCGTAATAACCTCACTAATGGCGTTCTAGTTATCAAGAATTAGAAAGCAGCTAAATCTGCATGTGACCACTGGGATAGGTTCCAGTTTCCCCCGCGACCCCATTGGGGAATAAGCGGTATTGATAATGGATGGATGGATGGAAATCTGCATGTATTGAGAGCTAATCAACATGGAAATAAACCGTTTATAATTGAGTTTTGTATGTTTAATGAACTATCCATACTGAAGAGAATAGATAAACATAGTTAAGACCCTGTTGCTCCTTCAAAAAATAAAGTATTCAGATAATTCATCTTGATCAAAGTAGTCTTAAATTAGCACTCTTGAGGAGAACCTCAATCTTTCATGATAGTAAAACTTTTGCAAATGCCAGGGACCTCCAATGGGAGGTTTTGATTATGCCATTCATCCTTAAAAAGTGATGTAGCAGAAAAAAAAAGAAGATAAAACACGTCTCATGTTTAAAATTCTAGTCAGTGCAGCTGTGGTGTCCGTTAGCTGTGATCCGGTTAACCCCATTATGCATTGTACCAGCAAACTGTGACACCGGCATATGGCTAAAACCATTTACGCTGACACTACAGATGTGCGGGTCAAACTGTCGAGTTCATGCCAAGCAACAGATGCCACTTCTGACAAAACCCCATCACTACATCGCAGGAAAAAGATCTGAAGGACTAACACGAGATGTACATCAATCACACACAAGCATCACTGAGCATCTGCAACTCTTCTTCTTTTAGTCGGGTTGGACACACACCTGTCAAGACAAACATTTGTGCATTGACATCCCATAAAAATGTGGATACGCCTCGTCAGCCAGAAGCAACACGAAATGTATCATTAGTTTTCGAGGTCAAACAATAACAGTTTTTACAGCTCTGAGTGAGATATGGAGGAAAGCCAAAGAAGTCATTGAAGGTTTGGAAAATATCTATCTCAAATTTTTTCATAGAATTGCATTCTAATGCGTAGATAAAAGATTGCACCTGTAAAAACTTGTAAAAATGTGGAATTTCTACTTTTTTAAATCTGTAATCCGCTTCATGACCAGGGTGAAGATGGAGTCGACGGATAAACTGATATGATTTAGCCTTATCTAAACTATTTGGCAAAATCCCAGTGCTGGTATTTTTTTGTGAAATCTTAAAGTATAAGCTAAAAAGTCAGAAAGTCTGGTTTAATTCTGCAACAGTCTGATGCGACCTTTTGAACAGCCATAAAAAAAGATGAAAAAGATGTAAATCAGACTCCATAGACTGCTTTCAAGTGAATAAACCAGATTTCACTGGGTCACCAACGGCTGGTGGTCCCTTTGCCGGGGGCTGTGACTCTGTAGATAGTAACGGGAAACTTTAGCCCAACAAATGCTGTGGCTGGCATTCAGAAAACGGAAAATTGGAAAAGCTGTCCTTTGGAATTTACCAAAATTTGGGGAAATATCTTATATCTTATTCAATACAATGAGTTCCTTTTTACTCACAGAGGAAAAAGATGGTGAGGAAGATTACTGACATTGTTGTGAGACCTAAGAAGACCTTTGTTGTCCCATATTTGAAACAGGCAAACATCACTTTAGACAAGTGTAAAAGTTGTATAATTTTCAATCAACGTTTTCCACACTCACTCAAACACAATAAAAGTCTTACTTTATGAACACTTTGCAATATGGTGTCAACATAACATCAAACTGTTTCACACATAGTGAAAAAAACTGCCCTGACAGCCTTTGTCTGAGATTAATTTGGATTATCCTGGTTAATGTTGAGCTCACATTTGTTCGGAAGAGTTTGCTTTTCATTCATTTTTCTGACGGCGTTCCAAACTGTACTCTCATCATAAGCTAACTATCTTTCTACTTCACCTTGGCAAAACTTCAGTTTTTCGTTTGCTGTTTTATTGTGTCTGCCAAACAGCTTTGTTGTTGATTTTTTTTTTAAGAAAAAGAGTAGAACTATTTTTAAAAATTGCTCTGTTTCTGACTTCTTTCGGATGAGATGTTGTTTTTTCAGCTTCACAAATAAAGTTACACATCCTTTTTGTAATAGGACTACTAATAGGACTAGTTATTTTGCATTTCAAAAAGTATCAAACTCCTAGGTAATTGGCCATTTCAGACCTGAGAAGATCATTTAATCATAATATCACCCAAATAGTCTAGATGTTTGTATATTTGTTTGTTTCTATTGCTAGTCTTAATATTTGGCTGTGTTCAATAGGTTTTTTTCAGCTCCACATTTGGGACTGTATGTAATTATTTGGAGGAAAGTATCTTTATGCACAATGCTATGACACCTGTGTGACGTAGACTTTAGCCACACAAGAGAGTTTTTGGGTGAATTCGGGGCTCTCTCCGAGAAGCCAGTCGGTTGCGCGCACCTGCGTAAAAGCACCACGGCGCTGGAAGCAGAGCTGCGGTCACTGCTGGTGCCAAACTGACCACCAGCCTGACAAAAAAAAACAGCCACCAAGGAGGGGATCTGCTGGGGAAAAAATGGCTGCTTTTAGAGCCGTCTGTGCTGGATTACAAACTATGGACCGGTGCGTCCTCTCCCCTTCTCCTTCTTCTTCTTCTTCTTCTTTCTCCTCTTCCTCATCCGAGCAGCCCTGACTGTCGCGTGCAGACTCCGCCACGCGCAGTCCTCTGTCTCATCCTCCTGTTTGTCGTCTTCCTGCTGGAAATATGACGCCCGTTTTACTGGTTTATTATGTCCTACTTCTGCCTTTTTTTTACACCTGGTATGTGGCGCACTTTTACTCTTCCAACCTCATAAATAAGATTTAAATATCTATTTGGCCTCTTTTTTTTAGGGCTATAATCTAAATATCCACTGTGATGTTTGTCATTTGTGGTCTAAGGAAAACTTTTATGATAAGTTCTAAGTTCCTTTCTTTTTTTTAAGTGTGTTTTTTATCCTTTGCAGCTCTCTAGCTGCTGAGTATGAGGAAGACTATGAGGATGTCACTGTCAACCAGATGCTGGCTCCCAAATCCCAGGACACCGACGCCACGGAAATTCTCAATAATCTCCTCAAAGAATATGACAAGAAACTAAGACCGGATATTGGAGGTGAGGATCACCTCCGAATGCATTTTTTCGCCTGTAAAGTTGCAGACTGGGAGTCTGTGTGTGAGAGATGACCTGTGTGAATCGGGCTTATTGTCTTATTAAAGCATATTTAAGCTGTTTTTGTAATCTAGAGACCTTTTGAATTGGCATCAGGGCTCATTAACTAACATTAACTATACAGAGCAGGACGATGAAAACTGAATTCTTCTACGCCTCGAGGCACTCAGGTCATCACACCTTTGAAACGTTGTGTAGATTTTAACAATGAATTAAAAGGCATGCGAGTGCACGATGCTGCCAAAGGCACAGTTTGAAATGGGAGCAAAGACGGCCAGAATGATGTTTTATATTTATTCACTGCTGATTTAAAAGCTGCCTTTTAGTCGGACTACCTTTTCATCTGTTGCCAGAGGCAAAAAAAGAGGAGAAAAAAAGGTAAAGTCCTCGTTACTATGTTATTTGATGCCTTTATATCACAAACTGAGAGCCACTAGTTTAGAGATGTCTTCAGTCTGTTTCATTTCTCCTCAGCTTTTTCAGAATTTGCATCACAAATGATAAGACTAGGTTATAATTTGGATCCAAGGCTGAAATATGTCCATTAAGATCAGAATCTAGCTGTGTTTGTTTTTACAGCGGATTTCATTCACCTGTCAGTCTCCTTTTTGTTCATTTATTTACACAAACCCTTCTCATAGCCATTCTCTTGCTAGGATTCATGTGAAAATTTGAGTTTTTACATGTATGCTTGGCTCTGTTTTTTACTTATGAGAGCTGGTTAGAGATGCTGTTTGTCCTCCAAAACCATTAGATATCTTGAGGCATTTTGTTACCATGAGCCTTTTTTTATTGCACATTATTCGTCCGTTTCCTCAGCTGCATTCACAAAAAAGCCAAAGATAAAACAGACCGACATGAAATGGATTATTGCAAAGTGCATATTACCTGAAAACTTCTCAGCAAAATGTGCAACATGTCCTTATTAACTATGGAAACTTGGCAAGGAGATAAATTAATAAACAAGTTATCTACATTCGACTTACATCATCTGAAAGTGATATGTTTAAAAAATAGGCGGGGGAATCCAATAAAATCTGAGACTGTGAGATGCCCTTCATTCATATTTCTGAAAACTGTTTTTTTATGCTTCTAGTGCTTTCTTAGCCTCTTGGAACATTCTTTTGATTCTATGTTCTCATCCTTCCCTTTTTTTAAGTAGATGCTGCTGATTATTGCATAATTTCCTCTGTTCCTCTCCACTCCCCCCACCTGTGTACATTTTCAGTGGCCACCTCTCACTAATCATCTTCTGCAGTATAGAAGTTCCATGTTTTTCTTTAGTCTTGTCTAAGAGTCTTGCTCTTGTCATCACCACCTCATGGCTGGTTTATTCTCCTCGCAGCCCCTGTTTCTGGTCTCAGTCTGTATTTTTTTTCTCTTTTCCAAGGTTTACATTTGCTATTATGGCTTGGCCTTGTTTTTGCTTTAGTCGTCTTAATACATACATGTTCATATATATAATACATATAGTTCCCCTCACCTCCTGTCATCATCTTGTCCTTCTTCATGCCATACTAACCAAATTGTGACAATCCTTAATGGTGTCTGTGGCAGGGTGGTTAACAAGAATCCATTCTTTGGAAAGTTAAACAAGGAAAAAAGGTTTGGTTATGTCAAATGATATAGGAAGTGGACTGAAAATCAGTAGAAACAGAGGTTGGCTGAATTCAAACATTGGGTCTTCAACATTTTTGTGGCAGTGCGGAACCACCTCGACAAAGAACACAAAGAACAAAGCGGCCGGCATCTAAAGAAGCCAGGAGAAGTTTTTCTGAAGAGTGCTTTAAGAAATGATAAGAAAGGTTTTTGGAAAAAAAAGGTTCGTGTTGGAGAATGAAAGAGCACTTACTAAAGGCAGACTTTTAAGTGTGTTGGAATAGTTTTGACCTAGTAGGCTCTATTTCTATTCATTTCTGCAGATATTGAACGTCTGCACCACATGAAACTAAAGCTTTTCCATAGAAGGAAAAACAGATATATGTCTTTTTTTTTTACTTCTACAGTAACATATCGTGTCATAAGAATGTTACAGACTGTTTTTAGGTTTGTGTGTTTGCTTGAATCATTGAAATTCACTGGACTTTCAGTATGGAATGCAAACCTTCTTCTGCACAGTGAGTTTACTTGGTTTCACCCATCTGAATTTTGAAAAGTTCACTATTTGACTTCAATATTCTCAGTGATTCCGAGGTTCTCGTTGGTTGGTATCTTTTGTCCAAGGACAGTGACAAGTGAAAGCCGTCATTATTTCTGCTGACTGTCCTTTACTTGATGACCTATCGTGGCACAAGGTCCACATGTAATCTCATGAATATAAATTATATTTGGAAGTAGAAACTAAATGGAGTGGAATGTTACGAGGAATGCAGTAATTCCATATTTCCATTTCACCATTTTTGTCCTGCATAGAATGTGTGTGTCGGTCGTCCTTTACCAGTTCTGGCCAATCAGTTCTTTCCTTAAGCTCTTTCTTCTGTTGCATTTTTCACTGGTTCAGGCCGGATGCTGGTATTAAATTAGCCGGTTACAACCGATCCAACAAATAAGTCATTCAAGGTTGTTTTCGCACCCTCTGCTTGTAAAGTAATATTTTTGCTGTAAGACAACAAACAAGCTTACCGGGATGCATCAGACATTTCTCCTATCTCCATCTCAGCTTGTAGTCCCAATTTTGTCCGTTAATGGAACCTTTTTGTATTTAAAGTAATGATTTTTATTTTGTCAGCCAGCTGGAAAATTGGTGTAAAAACCTATGATTGGAGTTTTGATGCTCGCCAAAGATCTCCAGACATGATGAGATAGTAAAGCTCAACAATTTGATACGCTTAAATGTATATGTGTATTCATCCGTCCATCCATCTTCTGTAAATTGCTAAGTTGTAATATTTTCAGACACCTCAGAGAAACAGTCGTTCTCAAATCAGACAATAATAATACTCCAATCAAATCCAAATAATTAAATAAATTTGATTGAACTAAATTGGTGTATTTTCTACAAACCCATTTAAAAAAGGTTAACGAGTTAAGGAACCCACAAATCCTAACTTCTAACAATGTGACAGCTGGCGTGCACGTGCACCCAATCCTACTTTGCTCTTTTTATGCTAACTTAGCCACCAATAAAAGTGCAGCTTCACACAGAAATGTTCGGTGTGGTGATTTTCCAGCAAATATTCCCCTGTGGGAGATCCTCAAACAAGTCCAACTGAAAAAACAGCACAGATGTCTTGACTGTAGCTTCCATATAAACATCTGGTGGACTCGAGTTAGATGGGGGGTCAAATGCCTCTGAAAGCTTTTTGAAATGCTTTGGAAGGTGGACCAAGCCACCTGAGCCACCTCCTGTAGGCCCTCGCTTCTGTATAAACACACCTGTATACAACATTGTATACAAATTGACAGTGGACCGTGTCAGCTATGTTGTTTTTTTGCCCAGGCAGACAGCTGACAGAAAAAGAAAAATAACAATGTAAGTGATGGACAGGATGGGATGGAAGGGCAGGTGCAGACGACTTTCACACACGCCGAGCTCTGGAAAATGCGTTTGAACTCCGTGAGAGAACTCATCGGAACCCTGAGCATCATTTTCCAAGTGTCACTCTCCCTACGTCCCCGTTGACTCCAATAACTAACGCTAACCCCGGTCTTTGCGCTCGGCGTAACACATCTGGTTTTCCCTGTGTGTCCACTCATCTTTTAACTGATGTGTAGTGTTTTAATCGATCCATTTATATCAGTTGCACATTTAGTTTTAACACGGCTTTTATCCATCCATCCATTTTCTATACCTGCTAACAGCCTGGACAGGTTGCCAATAAATCACAGGAACCCACAATCATTTATGCTACAGCTGTTTATGTACCTAAACTTAGTCAAGTATGATCATTTTCTTATGTACAATCTAGGATTAACAGTAGCATGAAAGTGTCCTTTAGTGGAGGTTTACCAATATGGATATTAACAAAATAGGAGGTTGTCATAGCTTTGTTTTTTTTAAAATAAGAACCCTTATAAAATCAGCAAAATATGACATAGGTTCCACCGTGCTGTGTTTACTGTTAGAGGCGTGGAATATATCAAAGGCTGGATCAAATAAAAGGAAAGAAAGACATAATAAAGCAAAACATATTACCAGCTGCCAGAAAACTGGAGAATTGAAAATAATGTCCGGCAGCATAAGGGATGATTGAAACGGGGAGTTTGACTGTGCGGTAATGAATTGTGACCTGAATCTAAAAGAAAACCCGCGCAGTGCTAAAATCTGTTTAGGCTAAAGACCATTGTGTAGGAATTACTGATTAACTGGATCCAACTGAATGCCACTGCCTAGCATGCAAGGAAAGCCATGATAGCTGTGAAAGATATGAAAAGCATGAAAGGCAGTTTGGTTGTGCTACAGAAACATAGCAATCCAACATGAGGAATTAATAAGAGTGGATTTTACTTTCTACAAAAGCACAATTCTCTGGTAGTTTTCCACTAACCAATGATTATGAATACTATATGCATTTGAGTTAATTTCTCTATGGAAATGGCATTGATAGATATACAGATAGATACTTTATTAATCCCAAAACCACAAATTGGTGATTTTAGACCCATCCTAAAGACCCTGAACAGACAGCTGATGAAAAAAAAGTCTAATAGTCCAATTCAACAATAAAGTACAATGCTGTTTTCTACCTTTTAATAGTTTTTAGGCAACTGATAACACTTAAAAAGCTGTTTCCATGTCAACTAGCCTTTGAATATAACTGGGACAGTCTTTTTTATACTTTAGTCCTGTTTACTTCTAATTTAATGATCTAAAAGCAATTCATTTTTTTCAATTCTTCAACCTTAAATCCAATCCCATGTTCTGATAAGAACAAAACTGTACCCAGAAACCATCACATTGTAACAACACATTGAAAAATGGATAATTGGGTAAATGCAGCCTT